TAACAATCAACTTATGCAAGTTTATAAAGAATCAGTAAATCATAAGCGAGCCAACATTGATAGGTGTATTGCAGACGACATTTTGTATGTTGCCGAAAGTTTAGACGAAAATTTATTGGTAATTCCTATAACTATAAAACTTGATGATATTCTTTTTACTACCACAGCCCTTATCGACTCCGGCGCCTCTACATCTTTTATTGATGCATCGTTGGTCCGTAAAACCGGTCTTCCTTCCAAGCCTTCTCCTGAAGCTACCACCTTCCGCCTAGCCAATAATTCCGTCCAATCAAGCTCCATGTCATCTACCTTGTTCATGCAAATAGCCGGTACACATCACGAAGAATTAATCACTTTGCGCCACTTGGAGCCTTCCGCTCACCCAATCATTCTTGGTATGAACTGGTTGAAACGCCACAATCCTGCTTTCCACCATAAAGATAATATCATGGTTGTTACCTGCCTTTTCCGCGATTGTACCCCCTACCAGTGTCTTTAGCGCTAGCAAAATTCCCATTGTTCACCCTTACCGATAACGATTTGATTGCCCCTTGTGCTGCTGCCATCATCGAACCATCCGTTTCAACTAACCCCGATTGTCAACAAACGATTTATAACCGTAGCCATCTCCATAACCCTAATCATGTAGATGTATACGATCCTGATAACCATAATTCTTCCCCATCCACGATCCAGTCTTCCGTCATTAACCAAATAAAATCCACTCCTATTGACAATTACTCATCTGACTTACGAATAATATCTGTTATGGACAACACTTCCAAAAATGCCTATCAGAATCAAAATATAATTAGTGATCTAAACAAAAACGATTTTACTTTCAACCCTGAACAGGATATTGTTAATATTACCAATAATCACAATACCAATCATGATCCTGCCACGCTAGATGTACCATGCTCCAGTAACCAAACGTCTGGTTCAAGTTCTAGTCTCATACGATTGCCTTCCAAGTACCTTGATTATGCTATTGTCTTTTCCAAGAAAGAAGCCGATCGCCTGCCTCCTCACAGATCTTATGATCACACCATCCCTTTGGTGCCTAATTCGGAAGTCCCTTTCGGTCCGTTGTATAACCTTTCCAAGATCGAGCTTGACACATTGTACGCATACATTCAAGAAAATCTTGCTCGTGGGTTCATTCAAAGATCTGAATCTCCTGCTGGAGCACCTGTACTTTTTGTCAAGAAAAAAGATTCGTCGCTCAGGCTCTGTGTTGATTACCGTGGGTTAAATAAAGTAACCATTCCTAATCGCTGTCCGCTTCCCTTAATCTCTGAAACTCTCGATCGTCTACATTCGGTGTCATCTTTACGAAGTTGGACATGCGTGGTGCTTATAATTTAATAAGAATTGCAAAAGGTGAAGAATGGAAAACCGCGTTTAGGACCAGGTATGGGCATTTTCAATACAACGTCATGCCTTTTGGGCTCCGAAATGCCCCAGCCACTTTTCAAGCATTTGTCAATGATGTGTTACGCGAGTATCTTGACACATTTGTGGTGGTCTATCTTGATGATCTCCTTATCTACTCTTCGACTGAAGCTGAACACACTCACCATGTCCGTCTGGTTCTACAAAAACTTCAAGATGCCCAACTATCTTTAAAGCTTGAAAAATGTGAATTTGACGTCTCTACTGTTCAATTTTTAGGCTTTGTTATTAGTCCTTCAAATATTGCAATGGATCCCGAAAAAGTTGAAGCAATTCGTACCTGGAAAACTCCTTCAAGCATTCATGATATCCAAGTCTTTTTGGGCCTTACCAATTTTTACCGTCGCTTTGTTCTGAACTATTCCAAGCTCTGTGTACCCATTACTGCTTTATTAAAAAGAATATTACTTTTAATTGGAATCAGGACGCCGATCATGCTTTTAAACTTCTCATCAAAATTATTACCAGTAACCCGGTACTCTCTCATTATAACCCTGCCTTGCCATGTATTCTAGAAACTGATGCATCCGACTTCGCTATTGGCGCCGTGTGTAATCAAGCTGATGCCTCTGGTGTCAATCACCCTATCGCGTTCTTTTCACGCAAACTTTTACCTGCTGAACAAAATTACCAAATTTATGACAAGGAACTTCTTGCAATCATTGCTGCATTCAAGCATTGGCGCCATTATCTTGAATTTTCTCAAGAATCTACCATCGTCTTGACTGATCACAAAAACCTGGAATATTTCACCACTACCCGCAACCTTAGCCGGCGTCAAGTTCGCTGGGCCGAATTACTTGGTGATTACAATTTTGTCATCAAATATCGACCTGCCCAACAAAATGCAGCCGCTGATGCTTTATCTCGGAAAGATAAACCTTTGGAGGGGGGTGACTCACGTGGAAAAACACCCATGACCTTGTTAACACCAAATATTTTTATTAATACCATCAGTGCTACAAGTTTAGAACCCCATGAAAATGAAATCGCAAATCAAATCATCAAGTTACTTCCCCATGATCCTCTCTTCTCTTCAATTATTCAAGATATATCTCATGATCAAGATAATGACAAAAATTATACTTTTGCTGACAACATACTATTTTTTAAAGGTGCTATTTGTGTCCCTGATTCTCCAGATCTTAAAAGAACAATTCTATATGAATGTCATGATACTCCTGCGGCTGGTCATTTTGGAAATGCTAAAACTTATGATATGGTTGCTCGTAACTACTACTGGCCAGGCATGCGAAAGTATATCAAAGAATATATATCTGGATGTGACACTTGTTCACGCAATAAAACTAGTCATCACAAACCTTATGGCCTGCTAAAACCATTACCTATTCCTGACGCCCCTTGGACATCTATTTCAGTAGACTTTATCACCCAGCTTCCACCCTCAGGTGACTTTACTGCAATTTGTGTGTTTGTTGACCGTTTCTCTAAAATGGCTTTATTTATCCCGTCTACAAATCAAATTGACGCAGAAGGAACTTCCGAGCTTTTTATTAAGCATGTTTTTTGTCACTTTGGTACCCCTTCTGACGTGGTTTCAGATCGAGGTGTAACTTTCACTTCCAAGTTCACGCAATGCATTTTAAAAGGTCTCTCCATAACTCAAAAATTATCAACGGCTTTTCATCCTCAAACCGATGGTCAGACTGAACGTGTAAATTCCGTATTAGAACAGTACCTCCGATGCTACATCAATTACCAACAATCTGATTGGAGCACTTACCTCCCTATAGCACAATTCGCCTATAATAACGCCAAGCACTCGTCGACAGAGCATTCCCCATTTTATGCAGTGTACGGTTATCATCCTCGTCTTTCTGTTTCTCTACCCAGAACTAATAAGGATATGTCTACTGCAGAACAACGCTTGCAAAGAATCCACGACCTTCATGAAGAATTAAAATTCAACATTGCTCTTGCACAAGAAAAGCATATACAATTTTATGACAAACGCGTACAACAAGGACCTACCTACAAAATCGGTGACAAAGTATGGCTTTCAACCAAAAATATCAAGACCCAAAGACCTACCGGCAAATTAGACCACAAACGTTTAGGCCCATATAAAATTATCGAACTTATTGGATCAAGATCTTTCAAGCTTGACCTCCCTAAATCTATGCGAATCTATCCTGTCTTTCATGTTAACCTTTTAGAACCCTTCAAGCAAGATCAGATTGAAGGAAGATCACTTATCGAGCCACCTCCCGTTATCATTGACGCTCATCAAGAATATGAAGTTGAAGCTATTATAGAATCACGAATTTATCGCAAACAATTGCAATATCTTGTTCATTGGAAAGGCTACTCCACCATGGATCGCACTTGGGAACCTGTTTCAAATCTTACGCATTGTAAACAACTTATCCAAAACTTTCATCAAGCTCACCCTTCTCGACCTTCAGGTGTTGTCGCAGAGCTCAACCCTAAGAGGGGGATTCTGTCATGATCCTGTTACATCTTATGCCCCAAATATGCAATATGAGTAACCAGCTTTCAGACTCAATATTTATCATTGATCTGTCAGCTCTTTAAATCCTTTGTCATGATCCACATAAGCTATGACTAACTTTTGTCATTGCTTATTCTTTTATTTAATTTCTTGTTTTTCTTTCCCTATAAATATAGCTGATAAATTTCACTTCTCCCAGTTTTCTTTATCAGATATATTTCATAATCATCTTCTCTTTTCTTTTTCCTATTCTTAAATAAATAACCAACTCTTCAAGAAGCTATTCATTCTCTGTCCTGTCCTGCCTGTCTCGTTCCTCCCTCGTTCCTGACAAATAGATTGAATCTGACTGGCATAATAGCTTACTGTTTGCTTTCACTTTCGATGTTAAATTTTTTCTAAACCGAAGAATAAAATTACGTTGAATATGTATCGAACAAAGGATCTGCTTACTGTTAGGAAAAACAGACTTTACGGCTTTTAACAAAGCCTCTTCATTATCGGTAACAAAACACTTCGGTAACAAATTTTCATTTGTGCTAATAGGCTACACAATATCTCTAAAACATTGAAGAGCCCATTGGTATCTCTCCGCTGTTTCTTTGTACATCCAACAGCCGGCAATAGGAACGGTTGTTAGCTGTTTTGGCTTTTCTTTTCAACGCAAAGAACCTGTAACAATACAATTTAATAACACCATCTTATGTGAATTTGTCTTATAAGTAGCATCAATAATTATGCATTCTGGAAAGTCTACGAGCTTCTTCGATGCCGTTTTTATGGATGAATAAAATTGATTATATTCTATTGTCTTCATTTCTCAAATATCTAACACGATGATATGTTGTTTCCAAGCGTCTTATAAAGCCACACATAAAGATGCTGTCATCTCTGCAAAATCGTTGTTGAATCTTTGTGAGATCTGTAACAGTAACATTACAAACGTCTCTTGTTCCAAACATCTACAGACAAAATAGCAACTTAACATTTTATATTCAACTAAAAGTATCGTCTTATTTTGTATCTTGTTCTACGGTTTACGTATAATATTTCTTGATTTAAACTAAAAGAGATCCCAAACAATACTAACTCCTTACAAGACCCACTATTTATTTTTAAATCCCTTACCTTCCAGACTGCACTGGAAGGACTTCCATTTTGCATCATCTTGATCGCAAATTCCTGGTCATCAGCTTCGAGTTTCCTATTGACGTGGTACATTTTGCGGTTTTGCTGACAGGATTAGTATGCTCAAAGCACGCCTTACCCACAAACCAGCGATTCTCCACGCCCTTCAAATCCATCTTTGGGTGGATGAAGGTTCTACACCTAACCTTATTTGTCTTTCGGTTAGGTCTCTTGAGTCCGCCCTCATTATCATTCCCGTCTTCTATTTTTCACTTTGTTACTATAAGTATAAGATCATTGAAGTCGAAAAATACATACTTTCTACACCTCTGGTGCTATCTCCTAAATGCTTGCGTACAAGTTTGATATACACTTTGTCACTTCTCGAAGTTTTTGTTTGGGATGGAGATAAAATGTAAATTAAGGTAACAAAAGAAAATACTGTTAGAACTGTGTATATCTTTTATTTCGAGAAAATTTAGATTAGGGAATTCTACTAGCAAAAACTACAGGTATTTATACTAAATGATTAGATGGCGTTCGGATAATATATGTGACGCGTTAGAGGAATATGATATAATGTTATACGTAATGTCTGTTTAAATAAATATGTTATGAAGTAATTCCTGCCTTACAAAGTAAAGACAAAAGTACGTGAGGATCTAAATTCATCTCCGCAGGTGACATTACGTAAATGCCAAAGAGAAAGTTTAGTGCGTGTAATATTCAGTAACCGAATATTCCGCCTATGGGATTGTACTATACTTTTATCGTATTATAATATTTTACTCGTCACAAGGCAAATCACCTTATGCACAGACACCAACGGTTCTGATGATAACAAATGGGGCGAAGTGTGAGCCATGAATATTTATACATGATCATCCATTATTATGTAAAATGTGATGATTCTTTTATTATAATCTATGACATCCTCAACAGTTTTAAAGGCGATGTTTTGAGCCTTGGAAAACTCCTGAATTTGCGCTCTTGCAGAATTCTTATCCGCAAATATCTTCTTTTTTGGGAACTCTTTCTCGAAAGCCTCCTTCACGCCAACAACAGCTACACTGCTACCAATAGTTTTTACGAAAAATGGGACTGGAGAATCAGTCTCATAGCTTCCTTCTTGACCAGCATCTACTTCTTCTTCTTCAACATTAATGACCGTGCTCCAGTTAAAATCGTCCATAAGACCTGTTTTGACAGGAGCATCTTCGCGTTCTTCCTTGCTAATATTGGTGGTCATTTCTTCAAAGCCATCGTTAATGTTCTCGTCATCGTTATACTCGGAAAGAAGTGCTTGAATAAGTAGCTGACTTTCGTTCAACATTTCTTCAGTCATTTCAGTCATTGTGAAGTTGTGTTTAATAATAAAAAAAAAAAAAAAAAAAAAAAAAAAGGTGTCACTGAAAATATTTTGCAGTGAAAAAAAAAGTCCGGCCCGGAAAAAAAACGGGTCCCAAATTATTTTTACACCAAAAAAAACTGTGTCCGTATAATTACTGTTTTTTATCCCTTTTTATCTCGTCTTTTTTTACGTCATCGCTTTTTTTTTCTTTTTTTTCGTCTACGATATCTCAGTAAATTCTATTTATTCTTGAAAAGTTCTTTCTGCAATAAATGCGTCTTTCAAAAATCGGTCTTTTTCTATTACTACGCTTTCGTTTATCTCCTCAATTTTGACTTGAATCTCAGCATTTAAAGAAATCTACGAAAGAAACTGACAATTTCAATTCCCAATTTTCAATTCTAGATTCCATTTTTGAAAATGAATGACAAGGAATCAGATGATCGGTTTTCTTTGACGACTGTTGTCGCCTGTAGGATCTCCACAAAAACTGTTCGTCCTGTGTTCCATTGAAAGCCACAAGACAAAAAATATAAAATCTCTCGTACGGTAATTTACCAACATGTTGACCTTGAAACGCTATTTTTATCTCGTAAGGCTTCTGCTATTCTTCGTCGTACCTTGACTACTCTTTTTTTTTTTATGAACTCAAGCCTGCACACCTGGTTTTGTTCCTATTTCATTTACCGCTGCCTTGTTTAAGATCGGGGCTGATGCTTATACTGCTATTCATTCTAGCAAGTTGCGGTAACATTTTTTGTAGTCGACCGATTAGCACATGTGCTGGTAGGTCTACTAGTGATCTTCTGAGGAAGTAATGTTTTCTAGTGCCGCTGATACTACTAAGGCTATTTTTATTGGTGTCATGGTTGGTGAAATGTTCTTCAAAGCATCTCCCTCAAATGATAGTATGTCTAAAAAACTTTTTTCAGGTCGAGTTATACAAATGTCGTATTCCAGATGAACAAAACTCTGTCGCAAATCTTCAAAGACCTTCGAGATATTATGGAAAGTTGTTCCGTGTCAGGACGTCATTTACCATGCATTATTTGTGGGTGAGGGGTCGGTTCCTCTTGATGTCTCAGTCAAATGTGTTAATAATCTTGGCGAGATAATTCCAGTGCAGCCTTTATCCGACAGTTAAAATATAGAACAATGGAATTGTCTTGCTGCCACCTCGTGCAAGGACTCTTCTCCTGTTAGTCGTTGGTGTAAACTGGCTGACCATCTGCGGATTGATTGTTCTGATCTGCCTAAAAGACTTTATTTTAAATGTAATGATCATGGCCACACTGCCATATTTTGTAACGCAAGGAAAACTTCTAATTCTGTTGACCTGATGGAATAGCTCTGTTCGTCTGACCAACGTAAGGATAAGACTCAACCTGGCTCAAACCGTGATATTGAGGAGCTTTCTACCGTGTAGCCAAATTTTTCTGATAAATCTTATGGCGCTTCATCTTCAAATTAGGCTGATAATACCCTGGAAGTTGATATGGATGTTGATGTGATTGATTATTAAAAGCATCAAGTAAACCGGTTTTCTCAGGCGACAGTTACTGGCATATCGGACAACCAGTTGGAAGTTGATTAAGACGTGGTTGATCTCACAGATAACGTAGCAGATGACAAATTCCGTGCTTTTGTTGATTCTAATCCTGGTAATGACGTCGACATGATTGTTGACCCTCGTATTGGTGTGGTGACTGGTGTTGGTGTTGGTGTTGTAGCTTGGGTTGCTGTTGAGTCTCGTGTTGATGTTGAGTCTGGTGTTGATGTTGAGTCTGATGTTCATATTGAGTCTGGTGCTGATGTTGAATCTGGTGTTGATGTTGAGTCTGGTGTTGATGTTTAGTCTGGTGTTGATGTTGAGTCTGGTGTTGATGTTGAGTCTGATGTTCATATTGAGTCTGGTGCTGATGTTGAGTCTGGTGTTGATGTTGAGTCTGGTGTTGATGTTGAGTCTGGTGTTGATGTTGAGTCTGGTGTTGATGTTGAGTCTGGTGTTGATGTTGCGTCTGGTGTTGATGTTGAGTCTGGTGTTGATGTTGAGTTTCGTATTGATGTTTAATCTAGTGCTGCGGTGGTACTTAATAAATGTGTTGACTCTAGCAATGTTGCTCCTTCAAGTACTAGTGCTGGTGTTAAAGCTTGTATTGGTGGGTGCCGCATTACAAATTGCTGCCTCGGTGCTGCTTCCCATGGTGCCGAAGGTGGAAGAAAACGGATCCGTAGAAGTTATTTGATGAGTAAGAAGAAAAAAACTGGTGTTCCAGCTATTCCGGAACTTAAACAAGTCGGTGCTCCCGCTCTTAATGTTGGCGAACCGCCTGGATTGGTTGATTATATTACGAACACATTTAAATATAATGCCATTAAGGGGCAATGTTGAATAAAACACTTCGGTTAGGATCACTTATTGCAAGCAGCATTTTTAAGCCGATAACCCCTCAAATACAAAAAAAAAATTATTTCTTTTTTGCGCAACCGTTCGTTGTCTTTCCGCGTTCGTTGTCTTGAAATGTTTTTTCTTTTCGTCAAGCCCATTTTATGTATGATTCTTTTTTTTTTTTTGTCTGAACAGTAAGTTTATTTAGCAATAAGTGAATTATACGTAAAACCGAAGGGGAAATTAAAAATAATTATTTTTTAATAACCTTAGGGCCCTCGCAAGCACATCAAACTATTTTTTAAAGATCCCGATTAAGGACATTAATTTTTTTTTTTTTTTTTTTTTTTTTTTTTGTGAAAGGTTACAGTTTTTCCAAATAGAATCTTTTAAAATTTTAATAATATATATGGACGATTAATAACAACATTGAATATTTTCAGTGCTAAAAAATCCGAATTGTCCAAACGAAGAATTAAAATCTGCAGGCCCCAAAAACCTTCTATCAGATTATTTAATGTCCAAATCCGATTACTGAAATCACGAATGTTGTTTTATTTTTCAATAAGAGCCTTTAATTTTTATCGATTTACTTTTTTTTTACCATCTCCATTTTATTTTACAGATATGAGTTTCCAAAATTATTCAAGTGCTGACTTCATCAATGGCCAACGCCCAAACCCTCCTGTGGTAAGAGGCCGACCCAGAGTAAACCCTCCGTCTGCTGCACAGATTCCCACTGACGTACCTGTTCCATCCTTTCAACCTGTACCTACCCCTTCTTCTGTACCTGCACCATCTTCCGAACATGTTCCTTCTGCTGGTCCTGTTCCTTCTGCTGGTCCTGTTCCTTCTGCTGGTCCTGTTCCTTCTGCTGGTCCTGTTCCTTCTGCTGGTCCTGTTCCTTCTGCTGGTCCTGTTCCTGCTACCGAGCAAGCTCCTCCTCCTGCTGCTGAGCCAGTTTCTGCTGCCGATTTCGTACCAGAGCCTAACACCAACCTTAACTGGGATTCACCAAGCACACATGTATTGATTGAAATTTTTCCTGCGTATCTTGTTGAAGCGGGTGTGACTAGTTCAAATGAGGCAAAGGCAGCTTTAATCCAAAAGACAGAAAAAGCCTTCAATGACAACGCAGCCGTCAATGGGCGAAGAGACATCTGTGCCATGACCACTAAATGGCATGCTCTTCATGCTAAGTATCGAAGCAGACGAGACGATGCTAATTCTACTGGTAGTGCACCTCTTCAACACTGGGAGTTTCATGATTTGATGGAGCAGGCAACAATACAAATGCCAACTACAAACCCGCCTGTTACATACAGCTCCCATTCCAGAGAAACTGTGGACAACCGTGGTGATTATGCCACCAGAAGACGTGGTCATTCAGAAGTCGATAATGATAATGAAGAGGATGAGGATGAGGATGAGGATGTCGTTCCTCAGGTAAATGCAAGACGTCCACGTAACGTAAGTGTGTCAATGTGGTTTATGGCAAACCATATGGAGCAAATGGAAGCTCAAAGCCGGGCTGAGAGAGCAGCTGATCGTGCTCGTATGATCGAAGAAAGGAATACCGATCGTGCACGTTTGGCTGCTGAACGAGAGGTAGATATTGTTCGTATGGCTGAAGAAGATGCATACCGACGAAATCAACTGGATCATAACAACGATTACAGACGACAAAATACTGAGTTGTTAAGAGAGGCTACTTTGTCCATGTCCCGAATGGTAGATTTGTTTGCTGCTTCAATTGCTCAAAATAACAATGCCACTCGTGCTCCCACCCCTACCACTACCACCAGCAACAACAATCCCCCTTCTCCCAATCCTTCTACAGATAATATCATTTAAATAAAATTGAATAAAACAAAAAGTTTTCTATACTTATCTATTTCTATTTCTAAGTCTAGTTCTTCTTCTACTTCTACTTCTAGTTGCTCTTCTACCCCCTCTAGCCGCCCCACGTCTACTTCTACGTCTCATCAATTCCTCAAAAATGGTAATCCTTCTGCTACTACCGCCTACATCAGGTGCGTCTTCATCTTCAGGAACAGCTGCACTATGATCTTGAAGGTGAACAGTGTCGGTAAACCCGGTATCACCAAGGTCGATACACATATTGTGTAAAATACAACATTCGGTAATCACCTCGTTGATCTTCAACTGGTCCAACATGTAAATGTACTTGCCCGTAAATCTCCAACGAGCCACCAACACACCAAAGGCTCTTTCGATCGCCATTCTTGTAGATGAATGTACACGATTAAATGTACGCTTGCGACTGTCTAACACGCATTGACTCGCAGGAAATGGTGTGATCAAGTTGGGTCCCAAAGGATAGGCAGAGTCACCGATCATGAACGTGTTGTCAGGAAAGTGAAGGTCTGGGTGGCGAAGAATTTCACTCGCTATATCACTTGATCGGAAAGCAGCAGCATCATGTGTTCTTCCTGAAGTAAATATTGTTGTGTTAGCTTTTATATTGTTTCATCGTAGATCATTTTAGTACAATACCTGAGTCACCCACTTTGATATACGTGAATCGTAATGCAGAATCACATACGGCAGTAAGCTTCACGGAATAGTTGTTCTTTCTATCCCTGAACATAGCACCCACGGTTGGAGGGGAAGGTTGGTGAATGATAAAGTTCTTACCATCCACAGCACCAATCACACCATTCAATCTATCCCCAGTGCTACTCCCAAAACCGACAGCGATCGCATTGGCTCTGATAGGGTCTGATGGCCATGTCAATAAATGACCAAGTTGATCCTTAATTGCTTTGAGTGTTCTTGTGGTGAAGTTGTTATAACTACCTGATGAAACACCCAAAAGCATATACGCTTGACGATATCCGATATGGCAATTAGCCAACCGAAATAAAGCCGTTGCGACTTGGATATAAATCGGAATAGTATTGGGAGCAACAAGATTGAATTCTTCGTGTGCCGAAAGCTCGTTCACCAAATGCTCAAAAGCACGCTTACCCATACGGTAGTTGGCGCGATAACTACTGACCTGGTTTTCGTCATTGTCATTGAGGAATGGGTGTTCCAATCTCCAAAAGTGGTATCGACGCGATTCACGTCTACCATCAGCACTAATTACTGTTCTTGTTCTTTCTACATGTTCGCCCATCATGAAAATGGGGAGATTGTTAATAGAAACTCCATATTGATTGCGGTAGTTGCTGGCAATAAAATCATATTGGAGACGTTCTGCTTGGTAAAGTTCTCTACTGGAATGAAGAGTCGTCATATTTTCTACGAGGCGTTGTCCAGTAGAATTGAGAATTTCCATTCTATCTTCTTCGAGAGATTCAGATTCTTCGTTGATTCGAACTATAAGGAGCTGCAACTGAGACACGATAAACGCAATTTGTTGTGGGGTCATCATTCTTAAACTGTAATATTTATCTTTTTAAAATAATAAAAAAATCGGTTAAACTGAAATTTTGTCTTTAAAAAATAAAGGAACAGATATTTTAGTAATCTGCAAAAACTTTATTATTAATCATTCAAATTGGGTCATTTAAAAAGCAACGTCATGGATTTCAGAAAAAGATTTCTTTTGGAAGTCTGAAGTAACCTTTCACAAAAAAAAAAAAAAAAAAAAAAAAATTAATGTCCTTAATCGGGATCTTTAAAAAATAGTTTGATGTGCTTGCGAGGGCCCTTAGTCTTCTTAAACAAATTATGACCTTTTAGAGTAGGGGATATTCGAACCACCAATTTGGGAAACGTCCCTTTCACGCTCTGTTTAGAGGCAGGATGTTTACCTAAAGCAGAACGTTGGGGACTAAGGGTGTTCTCAAGCAAAAAAAAATTGTGAACCCCTCTTTTTGTAAAAATTTGGAACCCCCTCCATAAGGCAATTATAACCATATATTTTCATACCCCTCAGCCAAAAAAAGTCGACACTTTTTGCTAACGAATTGAAAAGATAAACCACCATTAGGGGTCGGTTTAATTACGAAAATGGATTTACGAACCCCTCTGATGTAATGCTTTCATCATTCAAAAAATACTAAAATGCCCCCACTAGTTGACGGTATGATCATAATAATTTTCACTTTGTTGTTTTCTTTTCTTTATTTTTTGATATTCAAAACTAGCAAATAATATTAACTTTACCTTTGTAAACAACGTTCGGTACCATAAACTTCAACGTCCCTTCCAGTTCAACTGCTTCCATCTCCTGTGTTCCTATTGAGGACGACAGAACAAGAGGTCCGAATTGGAGTGTAGCAGAAGAATGCTTGTTAATTCAAATTTACAATAAGCATTTGAGTTCTCTTGAAAAAACCAAAAGTAATCACGAAAAGGGGGAGAAATAGACGGAGATGTCAATTGAACATAATCAACTGGCTCGCCTTCAGAATTTGAGAAGTCGACCATCAGAGGAGCAAAAAAAAAAAGGAAGCGTGTGATGAAAGATTTCAAGGAAGAGTTTCCATGACGCCAATCAACAGGTGAATCACGTTTCGAACCTAATGTTGTCTATGATAAGCTGGAAGCGATGTTAACAAAATTTCCCACCATCTTGCCACCACACGTACTCATCTCATTAAAGACAATTTGTTGATAATAGTAATGGTGTAAATCAAAGATCATCCACAGCTACTGCTGAGTCTTCTGTACCTATTGCAGAACATGAACGTCCTGCTCCTTCTCAGAAATCGCAACCACCTTCTTCTCGCAGAAGAGTGGAAACACCCTCTCCCGATCACGTCTCCAGTACTCGTCCTCCTCCTGTGAATCCTTCCACAACCTCACCACCCAATCTTTCTCCCGCCCCTGAACCTACCAATCCTTCTTCTTCGCCACCTCGTCCTCCAAGATCAAAGGTAAACTCTACACCAGTTACCACGACCTCTGATACTGAAGCTATGTGTCAGGAACGTGGCTAGGAATATATTATAGCAATAATATCAGAAGATACCTACTAGTTATACGAGACAAAGGAAGAGTGGTTTACAAAGTATTTAATTATAATAATAGATTATACAGGGAAGGGGAAGGATACAAGAGATACAAGATAATCGACGTGGAACGGGGAAGGTAATGGAAAGGGGGAGTATTTATATCTTTTCAGATAACATGGGTTTGCATTTAAGAATGTCTTGGCTTACTTAATTAGTCTTAGTGTTGGTTTCAGCTTACGTGGCCGAAACCCATGAGTCATGATTACTAATTGCTTGGCGTCGGAGATACTTGGAAACGAGTCATGATTACTAATCTCTTGGAAGCGGAAGTTCATTGCGTGGATAGTCTTGGAAGGTCCTGGAAGGTTCTGGACACTGGGGTTGTTGAATCTCAGCATGGGATTCCAGAACATTCCAATAGTCGGGGATTCGTGGTCAGGGGCAAAGTGCAAAGTACGTGGTTCATGACACTATGCTTAATCGCATTGTTGATAGAGAGCACGAGCTTTGTAATGGAACATTTCCAGAGTTCAGAGAGTATATGGATTCACGATTAGAAAGAAGAGATCCTACGGGAGAAGCAATCATTGCTTTTTTAAACCGAGCTACAGCTGCTTTGGAACGATACGGTGATAGATTAAACGAGTTGCATAATCGTATGCATCAGCAAAGACCCAATCAATAAAGATATTCTTTTTTTAATACATATGTTAAATTACATTTGGTACCTCCTTATTGTCTCGATTAAAACCATCGGTTCAACTCATCTCTTCTTGTACGAACAGACTCTCGAGCTGTTTCCCCATTCCCCTCTTCATCTTCATCCATCTCGATTCCCTCGTCAATTTCGAAATCTGGATCCCCAATGTTGATACCGAAATTGTGTAAGATACAAGCCGCAGTAATGACTTGGCATATATCTTTCATCTACTTCATGTAGACGTGTTTTTTTATGAACCTCCATCTAGCTGAGAGTATTTCAAAAGCCCTTTCGATGGTGATTTTTGCTGAAGAGTGGACCTTGTTGAATTTGCGTTTGGCAACGGCCTCGTCAGAATTACCTGATACTTCACTCAAAGGATATGGAACAATTACATTACGATAGAGAGCATATGCAGAATCTACAGAGGGTGTGTAAGTAAATTATTTGTTAACTTTATAGTCAGTATATAAATAACCTGCAAGAATGTAACCGTCCGAAGGGAAAAATGTTACTGGATGTCGTAAAAACTGGGTCTACACTTCAGTCCACTTGATAGCACCTGCATCGTGGGTGCGACCTATAAATACATATCATTAAGGCAATGAACATGTTATGGACATTTCGCTATTACCAGAGTTACCGAAACGGATATACGTGAAACGGCATTTGTTGTATCAGATTGCTGTCAGTTTCATCACAAAGTTATCCTTTCTATCACGCCAATGTTCTGGGTGATCTCTAGGACACTAAATAACAGCATTTTTACCATCGAGTGCTCCTATTGCTTTGGGCTAACGACGGATAGCCCCTTCTTCTTGACCATGAGGCCATTCAAAACCCGTTTGAATTTTCTAAACACTTTGCTGATCCATCGGCCAGTTGATCAGATCTCCGTATACCCCTTCGATTGCAACCAAAAATCTTCTGAAAACGTTGATATAACTACCATGCGATACACCAAAAGCCATGTTACTAGTTCTGTAACCAATATGGCATTTGGCTAAGCGCCATATAACACATGAAATCTGGATGTATGCTGGGATGCTGCTGAGGGCTAACAGATCAAATGCTGGATGCTGACTGAGGTTGTTGACAAGTCTTTCGAAGCTGTTAACATTCATGCGATACATTGCTCAAAAACTAGTGCGTGGATTGTCATCGTCAGCGAGAAAAGGGTGCAGGATTGTCCAGTAGTGATAGTTGGAAAACGTTCCATTGTTGCTTGGACGAACTCGAGTTGAACGTGTGCCAGTTAATAGGAAGGGTAAGGCATTAAAAAAGGAAGGTCCATCAAAAACTGAAGAAAAATAAAAAAGAAAAGCCTCGTGAAGCAAGTTGATCTCCAACTGACGTTGTTCCATATACCACTGAATTGCGGATACATTCATGTTAATGAGCGTCGTTGATTTTTCGTAAACAGTTGTAAACTCATTGGGTGATTCTTCGAAAGTACACATTTTGGCAAAGATAACAATAAATTTATGGGAAAAAAAATTAAAAAGAAAAAAAGTTAATGGAGGATAGTAATCTAACAAAAATCTGCCCTTATGTCATACGCTATACCTAATTTGGGGGGGGTTCCAAGTTTTTACAAAAAGAGGGTTTTTTTTTTGTATTAACTGTAAGTTTATTAGATATATAAAGAAATTATACAATTAGCCAGAAGGCGTCACTAGACTATCACTACGTACTAAAGGGGATTGAGTTTCTAAAGTATCAGCAATAAGTACCGAGTGATCTTGTTGAAACATTTAAAGAGCAGCTTGTGAGTTCCACAGATCACCATCAATCACACAGCGCCAATGATATTTCCAAAGTATTGCTAATCCAGAGCCAAGAATAACAAGCATATCCGAAGATAGAGGCTTTTGGTTTTGACCGCAGAGAGATACAAAGCCGGTCCAAATATCAATTTCAGTTTGGAATGTGTCACCAATGTTAAGAAGAGAGATCACATTACACCAGCACTGCCACTAATCGAAACAGCCCACCACAAAATGGAACAAGTCTTCGGAAGAAGAGACTAAACAAATAGGGCAGCTGGCACAAGGATACTTAGTAGGAGACCACCGGTGTAGTTTAGCCCTATAGCCTATACAATCTTGAAGTAGCCGCCACCATGGAGGGAAAGCCTTACTCGTCATATCCAAAGACCAAAAGAGCCGCCATAAGGAAGGCCGAAAGAAGAACCGGGTTGGAACCACCTGAGGTATGACGGCGCGAATCTCAAACCTCGCACGATCTGGATGCCAATACCAGCGAAGATCACCTGGACGTATACCAGAAACAGTAACCATGTTACCACGGCCTTGGGAGATAGTCCAATGATAAAGCGCTGGATGCCATGCCGAGAGCAGAGCATCGCGGTTTGATTGATTATGCAAAGCTGTTGGAAGAAAACCAGTTGCAGCAAACCAGCCATCGGATGGATAGAGGGCTCGTCGAACCTCTTTCACTTTGCTAGCATTGACGACACGTGTATTTTGCAAGTTGTCGGTAGACTGATTCCAAGAAAATATATCAGAGACCAAATACCGAAGGGGCACAGAAGGTACCAGTGTCGGAGACCAAGTATTAACTGCATCACCAATAGTTACAACACATTGAAGAGGCAGATCTAAAAACCATCGAGCAGACCATGTGTTGGACAAGGACAGTGGAGGAAGCTTCTGTAGAATTTTGCCTAGAAAATACGGAAATACTTTTCTCAAAAATATTGAAATATCACAAAGTGTTCGAGTACTTGCTGAATCCCCATCCAGGTTTATAAGATCAATACCTGCATTACCCAAACCAATACCCCCTATAGAGCAACATTTTCCACTTGGTACAATCAACCCACCATCACCTCAATTACAGATGATACGCCCTGCATATCGCTCCAGACATATCCCGGGAGCCACCCCTCTTACAACACCACTTTCACGCCACGTTACAGCTGAAGTAATCAATCTATCAAATAACAGAAAACGGAAAAGAGTATGTGTGGTATGCATGGTAGATAACTGTCCTGGAAGTTCCAAAGGTTCTCTGTGCAGTAACAAATGCGGACGATGCCGACAAGAAAGCTGTACAGGCAGACACGTTAAACAACCAAAAACTGGGAAGAAAGATTTTGTACAGCCTTTGCCTCGTTTAAATTTATAAATGTAGCTGATAATGTATGCTGGAATTGCTACCCGTCATTATTGGCTACAAACCCAAATCACTAATACCTAATTACAAATAAATCATGATATTTCCCTTAAATCAGTACAATAAATCTCGTAAGAAACAAATGGAACTTTACACGTAAAAAATTAAGTAAACCCTTCTAAAATCCGAAAATTTAGGTGCCCAAGGGCACCCAAATTTTTATGAATTAAATGCAAAATCAGATGAAATAAATGATATTTTAATGAAATGGCCCAACTATGGTTACACGGCCTATTTTAATGTAATGGCCCAACTATGGTTACACGGCCATGATTTGCACGTGCACACACGTGATTTGCACGTGAAACAAATTATATGGCTATACAGGGATATGTGCAAGTATTTGTTGATATCAACTAAATGTATTAAATACAAACATGCATTGGCTGTTTTTGCAAAACATGTTACCAAAACGTGTTATTTAATATGCACATGATTAAAATCCTTTTGAATTTAAAAAGCGGTTTTTAAATTGTTTAAAGACCCGAATCGCCGCCTAAACATGAAATTTTTCGAATTTTTTTTTTTATTTTACTTTTTTTTCTAAAACTTTTCAATTTCACTTTTTTTTTTTTTGGCCTGGCTGACAAGTCTGGGGGCACTCCATACTCTTGTTTCAACGATATCTCGGTGAATTCTATACATCCATCAGAAATTTTTATTGCATTCGATTCCTCTCTATCGGTTCTATCTTTTTTATTTATTACGCTCCCCTCCATCTCTTCGATCTCAGCGTTTATCGCGACATTTAACCAATCCGGCAAATATTTCAACATTCTCATTTCTCAAACTCCAATTTTAATTTTCTTTCTGAATTATTAAACAATGGCAGAAAAACTTTACAATTCTTGGGCAACAATCGCTTTTTTTTTTTTTTTTTTTTTTTTTTTTTTTGTATTAACAGTGAGTTTATTTAACAAGCTAGATATAGAAGTAAAAAAAGGGAAAGCTAAACTATTTCGGTTTAGGAACCTTTGTCTTCGTAAACATTTTGTGACCTTTAAGAGCATGTTGCGTCTGGACAACTAACTTAGGAGCAGAACCTTTAGGGGTTTGCTTGATAGCCTTCTGTTTACCCAAAATGGAACGCTTTTGTCCTAGCATTTTTCTTCCACCATCAACCATTTTACCAGCCAAATGGGATGTCTGAACTGTCACCGGTAATGGACCCTCGTTTTCTTCAATTTCCATGCAAGCCGTTTCTACAGTTGTGGCGTACTTAGACGTTGAAGAATGACTTTCAGCAATCTTCGAAGGCTGGTACGCATCTGACGGGTATGTATCAGAATCGGAGATAGCCTGTTCAACAATCGTAGGCAGCTCGTTATTAGATTCCTCCTTAGGAGTGTTGACTTGCACTTGCTGAAAATTCTTCTGTTTACAAAACTTCGCGGTATGACCATAAGCTTGACAAGCGAAGCACTTGGTTTTGGCCAATTCGGGACATTTGGAGCGTACGTGACCGGCATGGTGACACCAATGACAAACGATAGGGGCACCTTTGAAGGATGCCGAAGCAAAACAATTCCATTCGTACAAATTTAAATTATTCGACAGCGGCTCATTGGCAAACTCTGCGCTATCATCTTCAGAATAACCGGTAGTCGTATTGAGTATCACTGATAATTCGCCTTCGAAATAGCCACCACAAGTGTACTCCTTGACTTGCAAGACTTCTCCGTAAACAAGATGAGACCTCATTAACTTTTCAAGAAAATCCTCCTTATCAGGAACGTATAAAAGTGATATCTTTACGTGGGCAAGCTTGTACATTTCGCTATCATTTGAATGAGTTCCTTTTATAACGGTGTTCTTGATTGTGACACCAGTAAAAATTGCCTTGTCAAAACTTGAGTCATCAACAAGTTTGACTTCAATCAAATGATCACCATCTAAGCTCGAACCATAATTACTGATTGTGCGGAAACCATGGACAGGACCACATTGCGTTTCAATAAGCTTATATGCTTCGGTACGATGTTGGATTAACGAAGCAGGAATCGAGAAAAGAGCGGAGTCAGGTGTCAAGGCCTGTCTCACTATTTCGATAGCCTTCTGCATTCTGATGAAGCAGTCAAGGTCTTCACTTTGGTAGATTACCTTACTTTGTAACTTGAATTGAGAGTCCACATTGTTAGGGACAGATAAAGGACGAACAACTTTCTTGGAATTACTACGGGACGTGATTGTTGCCCAAGAATTGTGAAGTTTTTCTGCCATTGTTTAATAATCTAGAAAGAAAATTAAAATTGGGGATTGAGAAATGAGAATGTCGAAATATTTGCAGGATTGGTTAAATGTCGCGATAAACGGCGAGATCGAAGAGATGGAGGGGAGCGTAATAAATAAAAAAGATAGAACCGATAGAGAGGAATCAAATGCAAGAACAATTTCTGATGGATGTATCGAATTCACCGAGATATCGTTGAAACAAGAGTATGGATGCAAATACCTTTTGTCAAAATTCTGTAAGCACCGAGATATCGTCGAAAGAAGTTTTTTATCCTTGAGCAACAATCGCGTCCCGTGGTAATTCCAAGAAAGTTGTTCGTCATTTATCTGTACCTAACAATGTGGACTCTCAATTCAAGTTACAAAGTAAGGTAATCTACCAAAGTGAAGACCTTGACTGCTTCATCAGAATGCAGAAGGCTATCGAAATAGTGAGACAGGCCTTGACAACTGACTCCGCTCTTTTCTCGATTCCTGCTTCGTTAATCCAACATCGTACCGAAGCATATAAGCTTATTCAATCGCAATGTGGTTCTGTCCATGGTTTCCGCCCAATCAGTAATTATGGTTCGAGCTTAGATGGTGATCATTTGATTGAAGTCAAATTTGTTGATGACTCAAGTTTTGACAAGGCAATTTTTACTGGTGTCACAATCAAGAACACCGTTATTAAAGGAACTCATTCAAATGATAACGAAATGTACAAGCTTGCCCACGTAAAGATATCACTTTTATACGTTCCTGATAAGGAGGATTTTCTTGAAAAGTTAATGAGGTCTCATCTTGTTTACGGAGAAGTCTTGCAAGTCAAGGAGTACACTTCTGGTGGATATTGCAAAGGCATATTATCAGTGATACTCAATACGACTACCGGTTATTCTGAAGATGATAGTGCAGCGTTTGCCTATGAGCCGCTGTCAAATAATTTATATTTGTACGAATGGAATTGTTTTGCTTCGGCATCCTTCAAAGGTGCCCATATCGTTTGTCATTGGTGTCACCACGCCGGTCACGTACGCTCCAAATGTCCCGAATTGGCCAAAACCAAGTGCTTCGCTTGTCAAGGTTATGGTCAAACCCCGAAGTTTTGTAAAAAGAAAACGTTCCAGCCTGTGCAAGTCAATACTCCTAAGGAGGAATCTAATATCGAGCTGCCTACGATGGTTGAACAGGCTATCTCCGATTCTGATACAGACCTGTCAGATGCGTACCAGCCTTCAAAGATTGCTGAAAGTGGTTCTTGAACGTCTAAGTACGCCACAACTGTAGCAACGGTGTGCATAGACATGGAAGAAGACGAGGGTACATTACCGGTGACAGTTCGGACATCCCATTTGGCTGGTAAAATGGTTGATGGTGAAAAATAATGCTAGGACAAAAGCGTTCTATTTTGGGTAAACAGAAGGCTATCAACCAAACCTCCAAAGGTCCTGCTCCTAAGTTAGTTGTCCAGACGCGACATGCTCTTAAGGGTCACTAAATATTTACGGAGACAAAGGTTGTTAAACCGAAATAGTTTAGCTTTCCCTTTTTTACTTCTATATCTATCTTGTTAAATAAACTCACTGTTACATACAAAAAAAAAAAGACACCCGAGGAAAATAAAAGAAAAAAAAATTATTGAAAATTGTGGGAGACCTGTCATTTAACTTCGCGTTTTGACAGCTTTATATGCATGCCAACTCCATGATATGGCTGCTCTTTCCCTCCTCGTTAAATCTAATATACAAAAGCTGAATAACACTAACCGTCGTGTCGGAAACGCTATAGCCACCCTCACCAATGCTCACCCTGGTACCAATGCTGCCACTCCCACTAGCCGCTTTACACCAGCCAACCGGGCAACGGCTGGTAACATCATGGCCGATGCATTAGAGACCATGAAAAGCCACATTTGGCAGCTCGAGGCTCTTGATCGTACTGCTCTTGATCGTATGCGAGCTGCCAACATTGCCGGTGGGCATGATGCCGAAAAGTCTGTAAGTAAATCTATGAAAAAAAAAGAACTTTAAAATTAACAATTTTCCATACAGGCTGCCATCTGTCAGCATTATCAAGACTTTGTTACCGCCATTACCATTGCTGGCTAGGATTTCTCCACCTCGGTGATGAGGGGGGTCAATTTGCTGCTTCTTCAGTACATCCTGGGAATGTTGATATAGCGCTAGTACGGATTTAGATTTAAAAAGAGACAATTATTATTATATAACAATTGTGATAGTGAACACCAGACTTTTAGTTGTCCACTTAGTTTTATTATTTATTGAGAATATTTCTGAAGTAATCTTAGACGATAAAATACACAGATAAGACAGTTAAATGTAAATTTATAATAATACAGTGAGAGATGAGAAGAGAATATAGTTCTTAGACGTAAAAGATTAAAGAGTTTACGACGGGTTTATGTAAGAAGATGATGTGATTGTATAATTTACAATGGACAACAAACAGCAACAAAAAGCGGAGGAAATACTACTAGTATCAATTACAAGGTAAGACCCAAATTTAGGTGAAGACAAAACTGAAGAATATTTCTTAAAGATGAAAAAAAAGAGGAGTATTTATATGAAAGACCCTATACTGTGTAACAGCAAGCCACACTATTATTGGCTGCAACATATCCCCCGATTAGAGTAAGGTAAACCTTACGGTCAAAAGAAATATAAATGCAGTTTTGGATAATATGACCAGTGTACCAGAACAGGACCCAAGGAAAAGGAAAAGAAAGAGAAAAAATCACAAGAAAACGGGAAAAAAAACAAGACAAGGAACCAAAGTAGAAAGAACCAGTAGTTTTTGACTCGTTACGAAGCATGGGTAACTCGTTAGGGTGAGATGATAGTTTGCACCCGTTAAGAAGGAACGATGATACTATCGAGACCATGGATCTAAAGCTTGTAATGTTTCCATAAACGGTCTGGACCTGGATATGTATAAGGGTACTTGAGATTTGACCAGAATGGACCGGAAGCGAGAGTTATTGAGTTTGTTATTTTTGAGAAGAGATGTTTTGTGAGCTTGCTTTATGATTGGAATAGCCAATTGAACGATGACTGTGCCTAACGTTGGCTTCAGCATTAAAATGTTGCTTTTGTAGGTCTTCGAAAATTACCAGAATCTCCACGATTGGTACTTGATTGTCGTTGACCATTTTCATTGAGTTCAGAGAGGCGTTTTCCTTTAGTCTTGGACCGGGTGTTTCGCACTCTGGAGGGAGACATAGGGGATAAGGGAGGGGATGCGTCTTGCATTATCTGAAAATAAAAATTGTCGCAGGTATTGTCCAGGAAGGTCTTCGTAATCAACACATTGTTAAGACACTGGTAATAGTTCATAAAGGATAAGGTGGATATAGGTTATTAACACTGAGGTTAATAATAAAGTAGTTATGAAAGTGAGCACCAGACTGGAAGTAGTCAACTTAAGAAATATTATAATATAAAGTTTTTAGGATAAGAAGATAATCAACGATGATTTTAAGAGGGCGTAAGTAATATAGATATAAACGAATTGCCAAGATTAAAAAGAAAAGTAATTATGTTATTATAAACAATATCTTACATACGGTTTTAGTAATAAAGAGATTCGAGTCGAGTGTGAAATATGAACTTTGAATTAATTGTTATATGTAAAGTAAAGACTTAAGATAAACAAGAAGTATGAAAGTTGAGGGAAACACAAAGGAGTCAATTACAAATTATTAAGAAACTAGATTTTTAGTTAAGATAAAACTGAAGAAATATTTATTAGAAACAAAAAGGGGCGTATTTATAGGAAAGATCCTATCCTGTGTAACACCAGGTCAATGTAGATTGGCTGCAACATATCCCCCCGATAGGAGTAAGGTAAACCTTACCGTCAAAAGGAATATGAAGACAATTTTATCTAAAAAGACCGGCTATACCTGAATAGGATACAAGAAAAAAAAGGGAAAACGGAAAGAAAAGTAAAAGAGAAAATGAAAAACCATAAGAAAACATGGAAAAAAACCAAGAGGAAAATAAAAGAAAGGAACCAAGGTAGAGAGAACCAGTAGTTTAAGACTCGTTACCGAACATCAGTGTAGTTTATCCTCGTTACGGAGTAATGGTAGTCTATACTCGTTACGGAGAAATAGTAGTTTATACTCTTTACGGAGGGATGGTAGTTTATACTCGTTACGGAGAAATGATAGTTTATACTCTTTACGGAGCTTGGTTGGAGTTAAGAGGCCAAGGGTCGAGAAATTTAAGAATTTCAATAAAACTTCTTGCCCGAGCGATGGTAGGTGGAACTTGATTTTTCACAAGAGCAGATCTTGATCGTGAGTAATGTTGTAAATATTTTTGGTGGGGGAATTTTTGATGAGCTTGCTCAATAATTAGTAAGGCTAGTATCCTGTATGCTTCTTTGAGAGTGGATTCCAGAAAGGCCTGAGTGATATGGTGTCCACAGATTTTACTGACTTGTTGGCGGACCTGAACTTGTCTTTCTTCTTCCTTGTTCATCCAGCTCAAAAAATCGTTTTCCATTTGTTCTTGCTCGGGTATTTCGAACGCGAGAAGAGATTCGAGGGACATCGGGGCCACTGGAACTGGAAGGTTCACTGGAGATTCGGGTGGCGTTAAGACTTGACTGACTTGATCCTCGTCCATGATCTCGTCGAACAGATTCACCGTTCTGGGAGTCAAGGTGGACTTGGTTATCACCGTGTTCTTGATAACATGGGCTCTGCGCTTGGCTGACATGAGAGGACAAGTGGGAGATTTCATTTGTTTTTGGGAAAGGAATTGCAGTAAAAGCGTTGGAATTTAGTTGATGACACTCTACATTAGGCAGCTTATATATCTTTAATTTGTTCCCGTGAATTAATTTTTCTTTGCCAGAAAGAGGGTCCTTAATCTTGTAGGTGCGTTTGTGTGACTCTTGCGATATGCCAAAAAGTCCTTCATACTGGTCTTCAAGTTTACCTGACCATGAATTTTGCAGGAAAGATCTATTAACTTCTACCAGGTCGCCAGGTTTAAACTGCGGCTTAAGTAATTTGGAATTTTTATATTTGTTGGTAGATGATAACTGATTTTCCGAAAAAGAGGCTTATCTACCACGATATAAATTGACAAAAAAATCAGAAAAATCATTAAGTTAAAACTCTCAAGGCAAATTACAAAGTTAAAAGTTGTGAAGAAAAATTGTAAAATTTATTTTAAAGTTGCGTGTTTGATCTACGGAAATGTGTTTCATACTTATCTTTCATTCTTTGAGTGATTTCCATAGTACGTTGCAAAATTTCATCTACAACCGTTTCCTCTTCTTTTGTCATATACTTGAAAAGACGTGTTAAATCAGATCGAGAATGGTTTAATGTGGCCACGTTATCTAAGAAATGATCCTTTAATTCTTCGTTATGATCCTGTTGAATGATTGTGGCCATAGGAGCCGTCTCCAAAACAGGAACATTATCAACAACGTAGTTGTTGACAGACGAAGGAAAATGCAATGAAAAGTTAGTATGGTTTTTCAACAAATACATATGCTTACATGGCTGTCTTCGTTTGCCGAAATCGTAACAGGAACAAGACATAATGACATTGTCAATGGTTACTTCAATTGAATAATCGATTGAAGCACCATCGACAAAGGAGCTAACCTGATACCTTCTGATTCCTTCACCATCTACATCCGAGGGACCACCAACCATTCTCTCTCTATCCTCATCATCAACTTCCTCAGCCTCAAGCTCTCTGATTCTTTGCTGCTTAAAGAAGGGTGACATCGCACCGTTACCCTGAATAACCCTTTCAAATTCTTGAAGGAGGTAATACTCGACATCATTGACCAAAACAAAAACGAGCTTGTCGAGTCTCTTGTTTCTAACTTCGGCCCAAAAACACGGTCTTCAATTGATTGTGCCAAGATTCGATGAAGTTGTTGGTCAACATATGAGAAAACTGGATGTCTTTGTACGATCTACTCCAAACTTTGAACTTGTCTTCAGTACACCAGTTTTTGACGAAGTAGTCCATAAACTTCGTTTGGTCGGCATACTCTTCTTGGAAACCAATAACCTTTTGATGGAACTGATCAAGATCTTCTTCGTATACGATGCTTTGTAAATAGCTCATCATTTCACCTCTGAGCACTCTATTCTGAGAAGGTGAAAATCCAGGAACAGAAACAGAAGCAAGATGTTTGTTCCAAGCCTGAGTCACATGGAAAATGCAGTACTGAATTTTTGTCTTTGCTGGATCAAAGGTGTTGGTAATTGCATTTACCTCGGCCTGGCAACAGTCAATGGTGAATTGTTCAGGATCAACCAAAAGACGGGCATCCCTCAAATGCTGAAGCCATTCAACAATTGGTCCTGTGCCATGATCATTGGTAATCATATAGGCAACTGGCCATCCTCTGCCAATGCTATTATCACGAATGATCAAAGTATACAAAATATCGGCCATATTGCTGGAAATACTATGAGTGGCATCCAAACAAAACGCACTGGAATTCTTCATTCGAATCTTCTGATCGGGGGAGACAAACCCACAGGCGAACAAGGATGGGTCCTCAGAGTATGCTAATTTTCCAGTAAAGCATTCGTAGCCTTCAGATGGCAGTTTTGTCTCAATCCAAATTTTAAAAGACACCATATGATCCTTATGAAAATGATACATCTCCTTATCAACCTAAAACGCGTTATTGTTAATATCAATATTCCATAAATACTGAGTTTATAGTCTGACCTTGTTCATAGTGTTCCAGATATCATGGTAATTAACCTTACGATGAGACTTGCGACCATAAGAGTCAGCTGCCTTCAACATATCAATTCTAATTTGACGAGGAGTCTTTGATGAATGCTTCAGCTGCTGCAAAATCTCATGTAAACGGTCTCTTGCGAGAGAAAGAGTGCGAATATCGTCCATAAAATCTCCAGGAACATGGTTTGTATGATCCTTTTCGATAATGAGCTCATAGAACTCGGGATAAGCATAAAAGCTTCTAACACGGAGAGTGCACTTGCAGTCAACCTTTTTCGATTTTTTTTGAACGGGTCGATCCTTGGCAACAGACTTGTAAGTACCAGCACGATGACAGCAATACTGTTGAGAGAAACGGAGAGAAATGCTTCTAGCCTTAGCTTCTTCAAGAGAGAGATCCATGGGTTGCTTGTTGGAATTAGTGATTCTCCAGCCATAGGCACAAGCTTCGTTGATTTCGGCCAGGCATTCCTTCCAGCTAGCTGATTCTACTTTAATTGTTACGCCAGTATTTAACTGCATTACACCGGGCAAAGTTGAAGGAGTAAGGGCTTCCATAATGTTTGTTAAAGAGTATATCATATTGTTGGATGACATAATTAGTTCAAGGTTGTAATAAAAAAAAATTTTATCAAGCGCGTGAACCAGACAGGTGCTCAAAAAAAAAAATAAAAAAAAAAGTAATCACAATCCTGTTTTCGGAAAATCATTTACCATCTACCAACAAATATAAAAATTCGTAATTTGCCTTTCGCCAGAATTTGTTTGTCAATAGCTTTTTTCTGGACGTCCTGGGATGCTTGAATAGCTTCGGCTGCTTCAACTCTAATGGCCTGTAATTGAGTAATTTGATGATCGATTCTGAATCTGAGCTGCTCGTCTTCAATTTCTTGGTTGGGAGGAATATCAAGGAGACTCAATTGGTCACCATCTTGAATACTCAACTCTTGCATGCTTTGTTGGAGATATCGATCAAAAGGGGAATAGGCTTCTCTTCCATAAGTGAGAAAAAATGGTGTTTGCTTGGTAGTGGATTGTTTCATAGTTCGGTTTGCGTACAAGGTTGCAGGTAGATAAATGTGCCAATCTTGACGTTCAACATCGAGGCGCTTTCTCAATACCTGTCCCAAAGTCCGATTAAACCGTTCGATAAGACCATTTCCTTCAGGATGATAGGGGCTTGAAGTTTTGTGGATTATACCAAATCTTTCACACACCGTATTAATTAGAGAACTTACAAATGGCTTTCCATTATCCGAAATAATAGTGTGGGGACATCCATGAGTAGTAATGATTCGGTTATAGATAAAGAGAGCAATTTCACTTGAGTTTTGGACTCTCAATGGTTCGGCTTCAACCCATTTAGTCAGATAACAAATTGCTGCTACAATATAGCGAAGGCCACCTCGGAAGGTTGACACCTGCTTAATGTCGATACCAATTTTTTGAATGGTTCTTCGGAGACTGGAATAGGATTCAATCTT